GGGCGCCTGTAGTCCCAGCTACTCAGGAGGCTGAGGCAGGAGAATAGTGTGAACCCGGGAGGCAGAGCTTGCAGTGAGCCAAGATTGCACCACTGCACAGAGTGAGACTCCGTCTCAAAAAAAAAAAAAAAAAAAAAAAAAAAAAAAAAAAAAAAAAAGTAAGTATATACATGAATATGTTTACAGATATATGTGTAAATGCAAAGAAAAATGACAAATGTCCTATGGGGTGACGAACAAAGTTTAGATAATGAACATTCTAATTTTTATTTTTAAAAATTCTATACAGTTTAAATTTGTTAAAACTTTTGTAAAGAAAATAAACTATATAAAATAAGTAAATTTACAAAATCATATATAAAAGTAGGTATCAAAAGATCGCAATTCATTTTTTTCAAAAAGCACAAGAACAGAAAAATCACCGGTAAAATGTGAGAATCGTCCTATAAATACAGACACATGAAGGAAGAAATAAGTTTTTTTCCAAAACAATTCAATCCATTTAAAAAAGTAAATAATGACATTCAGTTTAAAGTCATTAAAAAGTGGAGATCCTGTTTACAGTGTACACACCTTGGTTGTTTTGTAGAGACTTTATTTTACCAGTTCTACATGGATTTAACTGAAGAACTGATGCAAGTTCACATCCTCCATGGACTGACCTGGTTTGTATTTTTATTGGCTCATGAGAACCAGCACCCTAAAACACAAATAACTGTTAGCTCTAAATGAAATCACAAGCTACCATTTTAATCAAAATCCTTGAACATTTAACACAAACCTTCATGTCATCTAAAACATTCTCAGTCTCCAAACTTTCACGTGGACGTAGAGGAATTTTGAAGACAGCATTTTCTTCTTTTATCTGTAATGCTGGTTTATTGTCTGGAGAGAATTTACTCAAGGGCTGAAGGATGATGCATTCCTGTAAACAGGGTTCCTCTGGGGAATCTTTGGGCAACGTGCAGTTGCCATCCGAGGCCTTACGGCTTGAGGAAAAGCCCTTTGGAATGGTCTTCAAAGCCTCATAAAGAGTCACTTGCCTAAATTTGTTTTTAGAAGTCTCACTTCCTTGGCTTTTCTCTTGACGCTGAATAGCTGAAAATCTATCAGACAGATCCAGAGGTTTATCCATCACAGAGTCTCCATTCATGGAAAACTGATTATCCCTTGGAAAAGGGAAAGCATTTTCTTTATCAAAAGAAGCTTGGGGGCAGCTTACTTCATGTTCACTTTCTTCCTCAGTTTTCTTCCTTTTGGATGTTCGGCCTCCCAATGATTTCAGGGGCTCCAAATGTTTATCGGAGTTAGAATCTTTAACGTACTCAGTCCTACCCTTCTCACCTATGGATTCACTTACATTTTTATTTATAAGTATCTGTTTATTAGACGATGACTGGATAATGATCTTGTTCACTTCAGACCCAAGACTCTGATGTGTGAAAAGGGCACTATCTTCAGATTTTGATCTAGTTTTCTCTAATCTAGATACACAAGTGTTGCTAAAAGGGAGTGTTTTCAGATGTTTTTTTCCCTCAGGCTGTAAAAGAGAAGGGGACAAACTTGTATTCAAATCTAAACCACTTTTGATACTAGAGGTAGCTCCAAATACAGGAGATGACACTCGAGTAGGTAATTCTTCTTGAGGAGTCGTCTTTGAAGCAGAATCTGAAAATCTAAATAAAGAGTGATAACAACTTTTTAATACAGAATTAACAGTAAGGTCTTATCTACCTCTTAGAGGCAAATGATTAACCAAAATTTAAGACAAGGTAGAGCTTTTGGCTTCTCTTCATTTAGATGACAAAAGAGAAGGGGAAAAGCAGAGAAAAATGACATAGGAAGTATTTCTCAATATCATAATATTCATATTTAAAAAATTTTTCCTAAGTACTTTAAATCACTTTATTATACAAAAAATCATCTTTTGCCAGGCACGGTGGCTCATGCCTGTAAATCCTAGCACTTTGGGAGGCTGAGGTGGGCAGATCACTTGAGGCCAGAAGTTCGAGGCCAGCCTAGCTAACATGGTGAAACTCCGTCTCTACTGAAAATACAAAAATTAGCCAGGTGTGGTGGCACACGCCAGTAATCCCAGCTACTCAGGTGGCTAAGGCATGAGAATCACTTGAACCTGGGAGGCGGAGGTTGCAGTGAGCCAAGCCTGGATGACAGAGTGAGACTCTGTCTCAAGAAACAAACAAACAAAAATCATATTTTAATAAATTCCACTGAGAACCTAAGTTCTTTTCTTATGAAATTTTATCATGAGTAACTCCAAGAAACAAAATTCTTACACGATAGAATTCAACATAAATTAAGATTCAGCCTGTCTCTAACAGAGGAAATATCCGTAGAAAGAGCAGTAAGTTTAAGTTTGAAGATGTGGGCTGGGTGAGATCTCTGGCTCTACCACTAATAGCTATATGGCCTTAAACAAGACATCTAACCTTTTTGGAGCTGCATTTTTGTAATCTGTAAAATAAACCAAAAAATGAGGGTAACAAAATCTACTTTCATCAGTTACTAAGATGACAGACTGTGATATACATATCTATCTATATATCTAAAAACCGAAAGCTCTTTTAAAAAGCAAAATGCTACATAAATACAGGTACAGTGGCCCTCCTTATCTGTGGGTTCTGCATCTATAGATTCAACCATGTGGCTAGAAAATAATTTGGGTAAAAAATCCAAATTTCACAACATTCCAAAAGGCAAAACTTGAATTTTCCATGTACCAAGTACTATGTTGAATCTTTGCAAATGGACTGATAGGTAGGCATTGTATTAGGTGTTATAACTAATCTGGAAATTACATAAAATATACAGGAGGATGTGCACAGGTTATACGCAATAATGATGGCCATTTTATGTAACGGTCTTGAGCATCTTTGGATTTTGGTACCCACGGGGGAGGGGGTCCTATAACTAATCCCCCACTGATAATCATGGAATGGCTGTATTATTAGTTAATAGATATTCTGAAATTAGTAAAAATGAGATGCAATACAATCTTGGAAGCTCATCCAAGCTTCTAGATGCATTTTGTAGAACATCCAGTTTTTGGAAATATAAACCCCAAAGGGATGACTGGCTCTTTAAAGGAGCAGAGTGACAAGTACTGGGAACAAGTACTGCTTGACAGAAACACAGAAAGTAGCTAAAAATGATATCCACCTTTCTACTGTAATGTAAAAAAGCTCTCAATCGGTCAGAAACTAGGGAGACAATTTTTAAAGTAAAAATGTATATAACCAGAATAACAAACTATATGTTGAAGGAGAGAAATGGTTTAATTATATGGAATTCATTGTAATGGGATCTCACCAATAGCTTGTAAGTTTTCACCGATGTGCCCATGATTACCTTAAACTATCTTCAGTATTTCTTGTAGATTCCTCAAAAGGCTGTTTCTTGTGATCTCCTTCCAGACAGTGGTAGAGCTCATCACCAAGGGGGCTCATGGGACCTTGAGTTTCCTTCAAGAGTAAAATAGGAAGCACACCCATGTAATGGGATTTGTTCATTCTTAAAAAGGGATGAAGTACTGATATATGTTACGATGCAGATGAACCTCAAAAATATACTAAGAAGCCAGACAAAGGCCATATAACGTACGATTCCATTTATATGAAATATTCAGAATAGGCAAATCTATAGGGACAGAAAGCAGATTGGTAGTTGCCAGAGGATGCAAGTGGGAGGTGGAAGAATGAGGTGAGGAGAATGGGGATACATGATTAATGGGTATGAGGTTTTCTTTAAAGGTGATAAAAATGCTTTGGAACTGAATAGAAGTGATAGCTGCATAATATTGTGAATGTACTAAATATCATAGAGTTGTACACTTCAAAATGATTGTTAATTTCACCACAATGAAAAATATGAAGCACATTCTAAGTTTAAAGAGAAAAGCATCAGTGTCTTACATAAGTATATTCTACTACTTGCATATAAAACTCCAATTCCAAAAAACAACATTAAGATGTGCAGAAGGGAATAGAGATAATTATTCATACTGATAGGAGATGAATTTAAAATAATCCTTTACAGAACAGTGCTTCTCAATCTTTAACATGCATACAAGTCAACTGGAGATCCTGTTAATGCAAGTTCAGTAGGTCTGAGATTCTGCATCTCCACCAAACTTCAAAAGTGATGCAGATGCTGTTGGCCCATGGATCACACGTTGAGCAGCAAGTCATTAGATTTCAGCTCTCTCAATCTATTTGGTGTCTAAGCTATGACTTGCCAGGTTTATGGGTAGGAGGGAATTAGAAAGTATTAAAACGCATTCAAAGTTCAAAGGTTAAAAACTACCCATTATCATTTAAGAATGAATTTAAAACTAGAAAGGACAAACAAATCCATATGTAATGAAAAACCAATTCAAGTTTTAGAAATTCAACAGCAAGACAACTTAATAAGAGTACAGCTGGATGTGGTGACTCATATCTGTAATCTCAACAACACTTTGAGCAGGAGGATCTCTTGAGGCCAGGTGTCTGAGATCTGTATGGGCAACACAGTTGAGACCCCCATCTCTACAAAAATAATTAGCTGGGCATGGTGGTATATGTCTGTAGTCCCAGCTATTTGGGAGGCTGAGATGCGAGGATCACTTGAGGCCAGGAGTTTGAGGCTATAGTGCTCTATGATTGTGTCTGTGAATAGACACGCACTCCAGTCTGGGCAACACAGTGAGACCCTATCTCTAAAAAATAAAACAAACAAAACAACAATTCTGAAATCAACCTAAAGGTTTAGGTCTATCTCTTAGATGAGGGCAAGGAGGGGGCATGAGAGAGGGGGAAGTGAAGAAAGTTGACAAAATCTCTATGCCGTGATTACTCCCCTAAATTTTGACTCAACCCATATCCCAAGAATTCTAGATTCTAGATTTCTGAGACTGCTGGGCTGGACAACAGAAATAGGACTTTCTAACAACACAAGTTTTGTTTTAGGCCTTTACTCAAGATCTTTAGATAAAATAATTCTCTTGCTTAATTCTCTAAGAACTGACCTAAAAAGATATAAAATTAATTCATGTTATTGCCAAACTAAACAATTACTTACAGATTCTTCCTGAACACCAAGTCCAAGTGTTTCAGCAACAACTGTAGCTAAATTAAAAGATGACTTATCAGGGGTACAGCTGCTTGTTCCATGTGTTTCTAAGAATAAATAATAAACCATTTTAATAAATAATAAAACCAACTTTACAAAACTGTAGAAGCTAGACATATTAAAATGACAAAAGAGAAAGGAAAAGGCTCATACTTTGTAAGATGGCACTAGACCCATTTTAAAACTCTGTGCAAGAAGTCCGATATACCTACCATAAATGGCAATAAGTTGCAGGTCCATGCATGCTAAAATTTTCCAAGTAAATTTTATGTTTTTCCTAAATGAACTGAATGTAATAGGTAATTTTTCTTATTGCCACTGGGGAAAAAAATCATAAAATGGATTTACAGTGGAATTATTGTGACTTATGTTACAGCATGAATCTCAAACTGTATGTACAATATCTTTCATGAAAACATACTTTGTAGGAGAGGTTGTCAGCACTGCATGTTTCAGGTTACGATAACACATATTCATAAATCACCTATGTTCTAGTATTTTATAAAGGTTTAACTCAAATATTTATGGAGCACTTATTATGTTCCAGGTATTGTGCTAAGCACTAGATGAAAAGAAAAGTTCTTGTTCTCAAGGAGCTTATACAGTTGCAAGGTAAAAAGAGAATTGCAACAGAATGTGATAAACATATTATAATAAAGGTACATAAAAGGGGTGATTCAAACATAGAATAAGGACTTCTAAATCTCTTGGGAAATCAAGGAAAGTTATAAGTGATGCTTAAGTTGACTCGAGAGAAGGAAGAATATGTCAAGTTAACTGGGCTGGGACAGAAAGAATTCTAGGTGTAATTAAGGGTCTAGATAAGTGAAATAAAATTGCTTGTTTGGGGTTTGCTATGCGTGGTTTGACTGCCAGAAGTCAAACTGCAGAAGATGGGAGTAGGACATGAACCCAGTTAGGTTGGTTAGGGGTCAGATTATGCTAAGGAGTTTCAAATTTATCCTGTAGACAATGAAGAGATGTCTAAGAGTTTTAAATAAAACAAATGCAATGTGTGGGCTGAAAAGGTATTTGTGGCTGTGACACTCACTAGGCAAGAAGCAATCACTAATAGGCAAGAGGACTAATTAGATTACTCCAACATGTTGTCTTGATGAGAGATGTTAGTAGCCTAAACTAGTATAATAGGGGCACAGAAGAATATGTAAAACAGATATGTAGGAGGTGGAATCAGTAAAACTTAGAGGCTGTTGAGAAAAAACAGATGAAGCAGAAATCTAGGATGACTCAAAGAGGCATGTATAGTGTCATTCACTGAGATTGCAAATGCAAGGATAAAGATTTAGTTTGACAGGTTAAGTGTCAACTGTAGACATGCTGAAATTGAAGGATATCCCTGTAGAGATATCCAAAAGCAGGTAGATACACGGGTTGGGAATCCAGGAAAAAAGTTGGACAGAGATACCGGTTTGGGATTTATTAGCATATGAATGAGAGAAGACTACTGACTCTAGGTGACATTCCTCCAGGAAGAGATAGAAAGTGAGGCCAGGTACAGCGGTTCACGCCTGTAATCCCAACACTTTGGCAGGCCGAAGCAGGTGGATCACTTGAGCTTAGGAGAGCGAGACCAGCCTTGGCAACATGGTGAAACCCTGTTCTACAAAAATACAAATATTAGCCAGACATGGTGGTGTGTGCCTGTAGTCTCAGCTACTTGGGGGGCTGAGGTGGGAGGATCACTTGAGCCTGGGAGGTTGAGGCTGCAGTGAGCTGTGTTTGTGCCACTGCACTCCAGCCTGGGTGACAGAGAGAGACCCGGTCTCAAAAAAAAAAAAAAAAAAAAAAGAGAGAGAGAAAGAGAGAGACAGAAATAGAACAGGCACAGTACCATATATTTTGGAGAACAGCAACACTGATGACATTTACAGTCAGAAGTAGTTCAAGTGTAAGCAGTAACAAAGGGTTTGTGAATGCATTCTCCTCTCTTCAACCCCTGTAAGTCTCCCTCCCTTCCCCTATACCCCGCTCCTCTAGCACTTTTCTCTCCCCTCCTTTCCTCCTTCCCTCCCCTTCCCTCTCTCTTCCTCTCTTGCGGGTGGGGGTGGGAGTAGAATCCATATTACAGTGAGTTGGAGTGAATGGGAATTAGGAAAGTAGAGATACTGAATATAGACTTTAATACTTTTTCACCTCTGAAGAGAAGCTGTAGCTAAAGGTGGAGATTATTAAAAGTGGGGTTATTTTTTAAAGATGGAAGATAACATATACGTGTATATACTTAAAAATAAGACAGCAGAGAAGCTGCAGATACTGTATAAGGAAGACAGGACAAATAATGGAGCAAAGACCTGGCAGCAACAGAAGAGAATTGGTTCTAGAGAGCTGAGAAGCAAGGATCTGCTGCACTCAGTGTTATATCCCTAGCACCTCAGTGTTATATCCCGAGGACCCGGAGCCTCCATGCACATGCACACATACTCATGGACAGACAAACAGACACACATGTTAATATAAAATGATTTGTAGCTTTCAGAATGTAACTTTTACACTATTATAAAATGAATAAGTGATTAACCTTGACCAACCCTTACAACTGGGCTCTGGATCTCATCTCCTCTGACCTTTTTAAGGATGTAGCAATTGTTCCCGCTTTCTCCAGAAAGAGAATTATTAATTTTCTCCTCTTTACTTGATCATCCTATCAACATAAATATGTGCTAATCATGCTATAATATTCCATCTTGAAAAAATCATCCCTTGACTCATGTTCTTCTTTAGCCACTGTCCTGTTCTCTCCTCCTCTTGACTGTCAAGTCTTGGAAGACTTGTTTGTATGTGCTCTTTCTACTTTCTCTGTCCTTAGTTTCCTTTGAACATGAGACAGATCTCAGATGGTCACCATTACACCTTAACAGTTTTTATCATGTCACTAGTTCAACACTCAATGATCTCCATGCAACCAAATCCCATGGTCAATTCTAAGAAGTCTTCATCTTACTTGACTTATTAGCATTGTTAAACACAACTGACCACCCCTTCGTCCTTTCTCCACTTGGCTTAAAGGACATCATTTTTAGTTTTCCTATCTCATTGGCAGCTCCTTCTCTGTTTTGTTGGTTCCTACTCATTTTCACAACCTCAACAGCTACAATCTTTTCTCTAAGGGAGTAAAACTGGTTCGGGGCAGGCGGGAGCAAAAAAAACCTTACTATGTATAAAGCACAGACATACATGCATACATGTATCACTTAAACAGATATACGGTATATCTGTAGTACTAAAACTCCAGTAGGGAAGGGATTGGGGGGAGGGAGAAATGTCTAAAAAAGCTGGGGTGGGGGTTCTTCAACAAAAGAAAAGTTGAAAATCATGGCTTTACGTAATGAAGTTCCTCAAGGCTCAATACTTGGACTTCTCTTTCCCTTCTATTATCACTTGCTTGGTAATCTCATCTAGTTTTATGGCTTAGATGCCATCTGCATGCTGACAACTTCCATATGTGTCTCCATCCTAAACTTCTCTAAATTCTAACTCACATCTACTCACGAATCCAAACTCTACCTGAATGTTGAGTTTGCATTTCAAATAGAATATTCCCAAAACGAAACTTCTAATTTCTACTCACCCCTGCCCCAACCTATACACCTGTGGCTCCCAGTCTCTTCCATCTCAGTAAATGCTAACTCTATTTTTCCTTTTGTCCAAACCAATCTCCCCTTCACTCACTCTGCTCCAGCCACACAGGGTTCCTTAATGTTCCTCAAACAAACCAAATGCCATCTTCACTGCAAGGCCTCTGGGCTTGCAAATCTCTCTGCCTGGGTGCCCGTCTCCCAGATAGCCACGTGACTCATTTCCCTCCCTCAGTCCTTATGCAAACGACACTTTACCAGTGAGGCTTTCTAATATCCCTTCTTACCCTGCTTTACTTTTCTTCAGAGCACTTGCTTCTATCTGACATAAATTTTATTTCTCCCTCAACTAGATCATAAGCTCCGTGAGGACAAGGGCTTTGTTTTATTCAGTGCCTGGTATACAACAGATGCTTAAATATTTGTTAAACAAATAAGTAAATTACAGTAAAGCCTTCTTTACTTAAAATTATTAGTAATTTATATTAATATCATCAGGGATATTTATATGAACTAATAGGATAACATTACTTTCCAATATGAAAAAGATAGTAAACTAGTAATATAAACAAAATTATACGGAAAATACCTTTAAAATATTGTCTAAGTTAGACTGTGGGTCACTCTTACCCACCAATAACCACAATTTAAACTTGTAAAGTAATCTCAGTATCTTGCTTACTGGCCATTGGAGGTTGACTTTGGTCATAAGTGTCAGCTACTAGAATTTCATTTTCATTAGGATTATGTTGTGGATGAGTTGAAGACTTGGAAACTTTTCTCAATTCTAAGGGGAGAAAAAAATAAGAGATTACATAATAAACAATGATGAAAAGTATTATCAAATTATTTTTATTTATTCATATTTAAAATTTTAATGTATTATCTGTATTTAAATACAATATAAGTACCATTTTATTGACATAATTATTGTATTCTAAGAAGTAAGCTCCTTTAATTTCACTAAGAAACAAAGCAATTTAAGTTAAGACATTGGGAGAGAGGGGACTAGAACAGACAGCTTCTTCTGACCCAAACTGCCCAGAGTAGTAACATTTTAGTGTTACTTTTCTTTTTTTATTTGTTACACATCAGCAGGTTAATTTAAAAAGATATACTGGGCTGGGCACAGTGGCTCATGACTGTAATCCCAGCGCCTTGGGAGGCTGAGGCAGGAGGATCTCTTGAGCCTAAAAGTTCCAGGCTACATTAAGCTACAGATCACACCACAGTACTCCATCCTGGATGACAGAGTAAGACCCTATCTCAAATAATCAATCAATAAACAAATGATTAAGCAATCTAATGTACACTATATCATTTATCTCCATGATCTTTTAGAGTTTTTATTTTCAGGAAGGAAACTCTGAAGCATGTGTTATCAGAAATCACTCCAATATTTAAAGATTTAGTTCAAAGAGAACCAAAATAAGGACAAAGTAAAGTAAAACAGTTTTACTATTTGTAACTTGAGAATAATATTAAAAAGCATTATAAACCTTACAATAAGTAAGCAAGGGAAGTTACAGAACAGGAGTAATTAGTCATTAAAGCATTTTAAATTATATTATTATTATTATTATTATTATTTTGAGATGGAGTCTCGCTCTGTTGCACAGGCTGGAGTGCAGTGGCATGATCTCAGCTCACTGCAACCTCCGTCTCCTGGGTTCCAGCGATTCTCCTGCTTCAGCCTCCCGAGTAGCTGGGACTACATGCGTGTGCCACCACAACCAGCTAATTTTTTATATTTTTAGTAGAGACGTGGTTTCACCATGTTAGCCAGGATGGTCTCGATCTCCTGACCTCGTGATCCGCCCACCTTGGCCTCCCAAAGTGCTTGGATTACAGGTGTGAGCCACCGCGCCCGGCCTTAAAAGTTATTTTAAAATCATTTGTATGGCTCAAAGTTATCGTACATCTTAAAACTAAATTTCAGATTCCAAGTAAAAACTGATCAGAACAAGATTAAAGCAAGTGAATTAAATTTCTAAATAGTTATATGCTGCTGTCATACAAAGAAGAAATAAACCAGAAGCATTTATATTGGTTACAAAAGACTTTCCTAATACAGAATTATTTTCTAGATATCCTTATATATGAATTTAAACCTGATCTAAATTATGCAGTGATTATCTTTAATGATTCATGTCCTGTCTGATAGCAAACTAAAAGGTCAACGGATATTCATTTTAGATCTATGATTTTACATCTTAACTTAGCTCCTATTTAAGTGTAGGATTTTTAACAGTTCTTTTGTTCTCCACTAGATGGCGATACAAAGGCTTATAAAATGGGGTAAAACTGCCAATGTTCCAACATCTAAGAATAAGATCTGCTTCTTTGTTTAAAGGCATATTTACTGTCAACAATTTATTTGTATTATACAAATATAGAAATCCGTATATATCCCCCGCTCCCCATGCTTTCCTTGTTCCAAATAGTTTAGGTTAAAAATTAAAGTCTTTAATGTTTGCTCTAGATTAATACTAAAAGTAATACTTGTATCACGGCACATAACAAATTTTGGGACTATGTGAAAAGGCAGTTTTAAAGCATTTAGCAGAAATGATAAACTAGGCTAGAATTAGAAACATGTTACTGAAAAGTCACAAAGTGGACACATTATAACATCATTTCTTGATTACCACTAACTCCTACAAATTACAACAAATAAAAATAGCCAGTCACAGACAGCTCCAATGGCAGGAGTACCCATGTGGCAAGACCTGGAGAGTACGAAAGTTCAGAGCTAAGAAGATCTGTATTTGAATTTTGACTCATCTACATGATAGCTGACCTTGAGTGAGTTATTCAACCTTTCTAAACATATCTTTCCTCATCTATAAAACAAAAGAGCTGATAGTTATCTCACAAGCCTGTTACAAGAATTAAAACATAGCAATAATATATGCAAATCACTCAGCATAATACCTGGTACGCAGGAGGTAGAAATTAACATTAAGTTCCTTTCCTTTTTCCTTCTATCCCCCTTGGATATATACACATAGGAATATTTTTAAAATAAAAAGAAACTATTTAACTATATTTATAAAATGTGGTATATTTACATGTCATATAGACAACATGTATCTATACATAACACGGGCAGAAAATGCCTTATCGGTCACTTTATGAATAGAAGTTAAACTCATAGTTGTACCATGGGATACCGGAATAGTGACTATTTTCTTTCCACTAAATCGGATAACATAAAAACTAGTAGATGAACACTGGTTTACAAAACCAGAGAACGAAAATACAACTCCAACTCTGACGGAGTCTGGCTCTGTTGCCCAGGCTGGAGTGCAGTGGCTGGATCTCAGCTCACTACAAGCTCTGCCTCCCGGGTTCACACCATTCTCCTGCCTCAGCCTCCCGAGTAGCTGGGACTACAGGCGCCCATCACCTCGCCCGGCTAGTTTTTTGTATTTTTAGTAGAGACGGGGTTTCACCGTGTTAGCCAGGATGGTCTCGATCTCCTGACCTCGTGATCCGCCCATCTCGGCCTCCCAAAGACAACTCCAACTCTTACCATTTGCACACACAGAGTGCTCCAATTTAGTATGTGTTTGTTCTATGTATCGGACATGGGGGTTCTCCTTTCTTCGTAGCCGGTTAACGCCAGAAAATGAGAAGGCTGTTATCGGTGAATCTGGAATAACGTCTTCCTCACATTCAAGCTCAGCTGCTTGATGCTGTTGATCATTCCTAGAGAAGAATAACAGTGGAAAGAAAATCAATTCAATGAGTATTAAAACATTTACTACACGGCATGGAGTTACAGTAGAACACAAACATGAAGCTCTAAAGGATGTAATCCCTTGTAGCTAATGTTCCAAACCTAAGCAGATAAGTACACAAATGATTACAGTACCCAGTGGGGAATACTAATGTGAGAAGTGAAGTAGAAAGTATAGTCAGTAGCACTTCAGGTGAAATTAAAAGTATTTCCCATTACAGACAAGATCAGGAGAAAATTCAGTTTGAGGACAGGCACGTAGTACTGTGTACTTATGTTGGAGAAGGGAAAGCTGGAATTACATGAAGGAGAGCCACAAGCTAAGTGTGCACATAATGTAGAAAGCAAGAGGAAAGAAATTAGGGTTTCAGAGCTTGGATATAATCTGACAATCTAACAGTATTGTGCAAGATTGGGACATAAGGACAGGAGGCAAGGAAATCAATTAGACAGCGGCTGTAATAGTCCAGGCAAGACACTCTGTCTGTGGTCTGAACTAGAATATTTTAAGTACATATGGAAAGGAAAGAACATTAAACATCGTGGTAGTAGAATTGGCACGCTTGACAAATACAGGATGAGACCACTAACACTGATAACAACCAATATTTGTTATGTGTTTACATTGCCCGGCACTATTTAAATTATCAGTTTAATTATCACAACTCTGTGAGGTATTATTACTTTCATTTTACAAATGAGGAAATGAAGATATAGAAGTCATCTACTAAAATAGTAACAGAGTCAGGATTTAAATCTCAGCAGTCAGACCCTAAGGGCCCTACTGTTAACCAAATGTGTTATTCATAGTCTACAAGAAGGCTTCAAAATTGAGTTTCTGTTACTTTTATCTAGGCCCCCTTATAGTCTACTCTCAACAGCAGTCACAAGAGTCCTATTATGACATAAGTCGGGGCTGGGTGCGGTGGCTCACGCCTGTAATCCCAGCACTTTGGGAGGCTGAGGTGGGCAAATCACCAGGTCAGGAGACTGAGATCATCCAGGCCAACACGGTGAAACCCTGTCTCTACTAAAAATACAAAAAATTAGCCAGGCGTGGTGGCATGCGCCTGTAGTCCCAGCTACTTGGGAGGCTGAGGCAGGAGAATGGCGCGAACCCAGGAGGCGGAGCTTGCAGTGAGCCAAGATCGTGCCACTGCACTCCAGCCTGGGCAACAGAGCGAGACTCCATCTCAAAAACAAACACAAAAACAAAAAAAAGACATAAGTCAGGCCAGGCACAGTGGCTCACACCTGCAATTCCAGTACTTTGGGAGGCCCAGGCAAAACCCTACTGCTACAAAAAAACCATTAAAAAATAAAATTTGCTGGGCGTGGTGGCATACGCCTGTAGTCTCAACTACTTAGGAGAGTGAGGTAAGAGGGCTGCTTGAGCCCAGGAAGTTGAGGCTGCAGTGAGCTAAGATCATGCGACTCCACTCCAGCCTTGGCAACACAGTGAGACTCTGTCTACAAAAAAAAGAAAAAACAAACAAAAAAAACAAACCACAACCACCAACCAAAAAGACTTAAGTCATATGGATGAAATTTCATTAAAACCCTGTCACATCTGCTCATTTCACTGAGAACACAAGCCAAAGTCCTTTGATCCATGAAGATCCTACATGACCTGATGGTGCCCCTCCCATCTTTCCTCTCTGAGCTTTTTTTCCCTATTATGCTCTACTGCTGACACACTCTCTTCCTTGAGGTTCCTCAAACATACTGAGCATACTCCCACCTTAGGTTCTTTGCTCCAGTTGTTCCACCTGCTTGGAATGCTCATCCTCAGATATCCACATAGTTAATTATCTCTCTAATCTCCTTCAAGTCTGCTGGAATTGTACTGTTTAAAATTGCAACCTCCCTTCATACACCCTAGTACCCCTGTTCCCTGTTATTCTGCACTATAAACTTTATCCACAGCATTTATTACTTTCTAACATAGTATGCAATTTACTCGTTTTTATTTAGATTTTTTTTTGAGTCTGAGTCTTGCTCTATCGCCCAGGCTGGAATGCAGTGGTACAATCTCAGCTCACTACAACCTCTGCCTCCCAAGTAGCTGGGATTACAGGCGCGCAATACCATGCCTGGCTAATTTTTGTACTTTTAGTAGACACGGGGTTTCACCATGTTGGCCAGGATGGTCTCAAACTCCTGACCTCAAGTGATCTGCCTGTTTCGGCCTCCCAAAGTGCTGAGATTACAGGCATGAAACACGGTGGCCAGCTGCAATTTATTGTATCTATTGCTCACCTGTTAGAATATAAGTTCTAAGAGGATAGGATCTTTGGTTCATTGATGAATCACAAGAGCCTACACTGCAGACATATAGTAGGTATGGCACAAACATTTTCTGAGTGAATATGAGACATTCCCAGATTCCACTAGAGAATAAATGTGTGTGGATCTAGGCATACGTTCTTGCCCAACTCAATTCAGGATCAATGGTAACTGAAAGATTGGGTTTGAACTGAATTGTGAATGTTGAGTAAAAATAAAGTTAATTGATTTTCCCACGTCAAACCATTACTGACCTTATTTGCCAACCGTTACCAGTCTGTCAGACATCTAGGCTTTACATGACCAAATCAGTCTGTCCTATTAGACTCATATCAACTTGCAATACTATTTCCAAATAAAAACTTACATAGTGAAAACTGTATGAAGTATGACCAACAGAGATTTTTTAAGAAACATTGATTGGAAGACAAAGACTAATTTTTCCCAACAAAGATTTACACTTTAATTTCCTGAATGATACCAATATTATTTGCAGGCTTTAATCCTATATTTTATACCAAGGAACAATCTTTAGAGCTAACATCTAATTATTTAAAATTTTATTTTTATGTTTTTGAGACAGTCTCTTTCTGTTGCACAGGCTGGAGTACAGTGGTGTGATCTTGGCTCACTGCAACCTCTGCTTCCCGGGTTCAAATGATTCTTGTGCCTCAGCCTCCCGAGTAGCTGGTACTACAGGTGCACGTGCAACCACACCTGGCTAGTTTTTGTATTTTTAATGGAGACGGGGTTTTACCATGTTGCCCAGGCTGGTCTCAAACTCCTGACCTCAAGTATCTGCCTACCTTAGCCTCCCAAAGTGCTGAGATTACAGGTGTGAGCCACTGTGCCCAGCCAAATTTTATTTTTAATTGACAAAATAATTGTATCTACTTACTGGGTTCAACAAAATGTTTTGATACATGTTTACACTGTAGAATGATTAAATCAAGCTAATTAACATATATCACTTCACATACTTATCTTTTTCTTTAGTAAAAACATTTAAAATCTAGTTGGCAATTTTGAAATATACAATCATTTATTAAGTCACCATTCTGTGCAACAGATCTAATATCTAATTTTTAATCTCTTCTTGTAATTCTCTTATTCTGGAAAAACAGTAAGTTAAAGTCATATGAGAAAGGCTTATAAATTAATGGAGTGTGAAATCTATCAGACCTAGCTTTAACTAATCACGTCACAGCCTGCTTGCCTATTAGTCATAAAAATTCAACCTGAAACATGAATGAGTCACGAGAAGAAATTGATTTCCTGGCAGAGTCAATGTGGAAGTAGCTGGGATCACAAAAGGAAAAAACAAAAAAACAAAACTAGCTCTAACTAGAGGTGCCCAAACTAAGTAAATGAGTGCTGGCTTTGTCTTCCTTTCTCATAAAAGGAAAAAAGAAAACTCCATACGTTAATCAAGTTCATTCTTTAAAACATTAGTCACACTGATTTTCTGAGAAAAGGAAAGAGTTCACGCCACAGTTTTTGGTTAAATTAATTATGCACACTTGTCCTCCTTTCACTTTTCCTTCTGATGGCTTGAGTTGTTTGATTTGTGGACCCCTGCTCCCTATTAAATTCCTGTCAAAACTGTTTTAGTTGGTTTCTTCCCCAAAGACCTATAATTATGGATCTGGGGTTTCCCTTCATGAGTCTGTAAAAAAGTTTTAAATATTCAGCTTTTTTCCTTTTCTACTCTGAAGAACTTACATTCCCAGTTAAAACATAATTTAACCTTAACGAAGTAATGTTATAGCCATCGTAGAGGAAGTGGCAGTACTGCTTCACTGATCAAGCTATACCTAGAATATTGATTTCTTAATTCAGATATTGACAAACTAAAACATTTAAAAAAATTCACAGTTTGAAGAGTCAAAGTAATGCCACATGAATGAGCAGAGGATATTTAATGCTACAGTTAATGAACAGAGGATATTTACTCTAGAGAAAACAAGACTCAGGAGGGCCATGAGAGCTGTCTTCATGTATCAAAAGAGTCGTGAAGTAGCAAAGGAGAACAGACTTGTTTAAGATGGTCCCGGAAAGCAAAGTCATAATCAAGAAATATAACTTATAAGCAGTGTAATTTCTATAAACTTAGAAAGAATTTTCTAATAATTCTGTCTCACTAAATTTAAATAGGCTTGGGAAACAGTAAACTTCTACTAGACGTGTTCAAACAATAGCTATTTGTTAAAGAAGCTGTATAAGGAATTCAATTTAGAAGAGGGTTGAATGAAATGAATTCTACAGTCCTTTGAACTTACATATATAGACTCCCTTGACTTTCACTGATCCATCACATCTATTTTCCAAAATGAAGAGAATGATGACCTCAATACCTAGCTTTATATACATTTTTAACTTTACAGTGGCAAAATTTTACCAAATAATTTTGGTGTCACTAATAACCACCCTACCATATAAGCCATCTGTAATATCAAAACTAGCTCAGAAGAGTCAGAGTTACTGCAATTAACAAGCAGAAATATAAGTCAAATAATATTTTCTTCTAAAGTTCAGGGGAATTTCAGGCACAAATAGCATAACATGACAGTGGTTTAGGTGATCAGAGAAAAGTAGGTTGCCTTTACAAGATGATAATTGCTTAAAAAAAAAAAAAAAAGACTGCCGAGCAAAAGGCAATTTATTTGCCACCAAGCCACAAAAGATGTTGGTTCATGAGAATCACAACTATCTTAAATTTCAGATGAGAATAAAAGACACAATCAGATCTCCTATACTCTTTTGACTAAGCATGTCCTAAATAAACATACATGCCTTAGGCTCATCTATATGATTATTCTTTCCTGTAGTTTCAAACTTTCACACCTTCACTTCTTTTCTAAAATATGGGTGAGTTTCAACGGAAAAATGTATGTGCTTGATAACACTAAAAATAAATTATAAACTAATTAGAATTCACATGTCTACCAAGCAAATGACATGATATAGTTTCAACCTAACTTATACACATTGGTTTTTGAGGCAATTGTCTATCTAATTCTGTGTTAACTTCTACACACTTGGTATCTCATCCTTTTGGTACTCATAAAGATCAAGGCTGATGTGTTCAAAATACCATAAGCTACATACATACATAATCACTTCACATAAATTAATGTAGGTCAACAAACCCTTATCTGAAATCCTTGGAAGAAGATGGGATTCTAAATTCAGATTTTTTTAAAAAATGAAAGTAATACAGTAATGCAGAACATATATACATAATTACATAACAGCTCTAGTGGAGTCTGAAGCATCATCCTGTAATCAAACACATTGATATTTTCACAGCAAAACATATGAATCCTCACATGAAGTGGGATAAAGACTATAAACAGCATTCTGTCATTGCAGTGGTTAGGTTGTGAATAATATCTCAAAAATAACCTTTTGGGTTTTGGAATTGTATGTAACAGATTGTGGATCTGTGTCCTGTGTTCCCTCTTCATTATACAGCATTATTAAAATTAGAAAGTGCTGACATTTTCTTATAAACATTTATAACATCAGTCTGATCTCATAGGTTCATTTCCTCATCTGACTATTATCTCTCCTCAAAATTGCCTTTTGCTACCAGTATTCAGTAGACCGATCACACGGGAAGAATATCAGAATTCTACTGGATATCCATTATTCTAAAATAATTCTGGTAAGAATAATTCTACTTGTGAGATGTGTTAATACAAAAATAACTATTCTAAGCCAAAATAATATGTTACATCTACATAGTTTTGCCGAAGTTTTTGCAGATGTCTACTTAAACGCAACAGGATCTTTAGGAACTCTATGATGCCATTAGGATTATCTTGAATCTTCAGTTTTCAAAAATAGTACATAAGCTTTATATAAATGGGAACTAAAAGTTTGTCACATCTCCGCTCTGCATTAGTCAGATCATATCTAGAAAAACGTTCTTTTTTTTGAGACAGTGTTGGATAATGGAAAGAAAAGAGGTTTTTCAGAAAAAATATGGGTCTGAGTGACAGTCCTATTACCTACTAGCTGTAAAATGATAGGCAAGTTATGTGACTTTGTGACCTTTGGTTTCCACATTTGTAAAGTGGGGATAATAAAACTACTTTGCAAAGTCACAGTGAGAATTAGAAATAATAAACATAAAACACAAGAGGAAGTGGCACACAAGATAAAAGTTACTGTTTTTATTCTTTAAGAGAAATGGGGAGAAGAGGGAGAAAAACAGAGGAAGGAAGAAGTTCTATAGGCCTGAGTACTATATAAGACGAAACACTTATGAAGCTCTGGGACAGGGCTGGAAGGGAGCTAACAAAACTCAAACATCTGTTTGAAATATAAGTATTTTAACAATGTATTATGTATAATACATCATTATAAAAATTAAAATGTTTTAATTACAATGTTGACACTTTATTCAAGCACTAATCTAAGAGATGCAGTCACACTATACTCTCAAAACACAAAAATGTAGTGATTTTCTTTGTATTTTTTAACTGCAGAACACTTCATAATTTTAAAAATGAAATCTGCAACTCTTACAGTATCTTCATGGTTTGTATAGCGAAGTAAAATAAAACAACAAGGATGGGGGAAAATACTTACTCAATTTTCTGCTGGAGTTGTTCAGAAAGCTTTTTATTTTCTTCCTGTAGAGTATTCCTTTCATTCACTTAAAAACAATTCGAAAAAGAAGGCACATAATATATTTATATTAACATCTATGTCAGGCTTTCAAATATGTCAGCATGTATGAAGAAATTAGTACTTCTAATCCTATATCATAATGTTTATTCAGGGTTAACACTAGTGTGCAAAACTAATTTGTTACTAGGTAGGGGGTACTACATCTCACACCGTGCCAGTTCCATGTAACTGATTAACTGATAATTTTATGTAATGCTTGCAGGCAAAAGAGAGTACTTCATGTACTAGGGAGTATAATTATTCATACTGAGGACAAGAAAGCATTCCATCTGGTTACTCAGTCCCACTAATTTCAAATACCATTTTAGCAAGAGTCACTTATCTTGAAATTAATTTGATCATAAAAATAAAATAGGCTGGGCGCAGTGGCTCACAGCTGTAATCCCAGCACTCAGAGGCCAAGGTGGGTGGATCACTGGAGGTGAGGAGTTCGAGACCAGCCTGGCCATCATGGTGAAACTCCGTCTCTACTAAAAACACAAAAATCAGCCGGATGTGGTGGTGCATGCCTGTGATCCCAGCTATTCCAGGTGGAGGCAGGAGAATCTCTTCAACCTGGGAGGCTGAGGTTGTAGTGGTCCAAGATAGCGCCACTGCACTCTAGCCTGGGTGGCAGGAAGAGCCGCAAAAAAAAAAAAACCACCAAAACCGCTGAATATCAGCGTAATTTTTATAACAAGCACATTTATCAAATCAAATTTTCTTCTTAGTCACACTCTACATTTCATGAATAATTATGGTATCAGTAACTTAAATATATCCATTGAAGCACTATCTGCTTGTTTGAATCTCCACCAAATTTTCCTATCTATATTTATTTAATTTATAAAGCAGAAATCCAGTTTTGGGCTGTAACTTCTACTGGAACCGGCATAAAACTCTCATCAATGTTTAGTATGATGTCACTGCTTAAGCATGTGCTTTAGTAAAAGAAGTAGATCCCAGAAATCAAGTCGCAGTAAATACAATGAACTTTTACCAAAGAAGGTTAATCATATTCTAAAATTTGTTAATAATTTAGTGGTTTATAAATCTAAACATATTTTCTTACACTGAGTAAATTTTCTGGACTATCTACAACATGTGAGGTTATTAAACTACTTTTGTGGAGGATCCAAAAAAATTAAGATATAGACAGTGACCTAAAGCAATGTGCAGTCTATCAAAGGAGACAAGGTATTACATAAACATGTTTTATAGGTTTAAAAGTGACAAGGGCATTCGAGAAGTACAAATAAAGTACCAAGGAAATTTCTAAGGAGAAAGAGGTTACTTTGAGCCCTTGAGAAGATCAGGAATGCATTCATCAAAAAAAGGGCAACTGAGCTGGACAGGAGACTATTCTACAGAGAAAATCAGTGGAACAAAGAAAGACTGGGTATAATAAATGGTAGAAAGCCTTCAATAGCAGGTTAAGAAATTAAAACTTTATCTTACAGATTACCAGGAATCATTTTTCATAGATGAATGATGGGAAGACTGATTTGTTAGTACATATAGTATATACCAATGTGAAAAGAAAATATGGACAAGACAAAAAGTCAGGTGGTCTTTAAAAGAAATGAGTATCTGGACCTATGTAGAGGTGGATAAATAGGAAGTAAAGACCAGTACAAGAACGTAACAGAGGCAGAATCAGTAGTATTTGGCAACTCATCCTTTGCAGGGTTGACAGAAGTCAAAGATGACCTTAGATTTCTGATTAAGATGGTTTACTTGATTTTCCCTCTCCAAATCCAAATAAAATGACAACACTCTAAAATAAGTCTACTGGAATATTAAAAAGCCAAAAAGGGTGTCACTAACAGATCAGAACTATAAAAAATTTCTGAATTATTTAAAAATAGGCTCAGGATGATGGTAAAATCCAACGAAAAAGGGTCTTTAAAAAAGGGAGTTTTCCCAGCAGAATCTCTTATCAATTCTAGTACCACGGCAGCATGGCCCACAAACTGCTAAATGGGTAAACAAAGGGTGCCTAATAGTTGCCCTTAGGCTAAAGTCATGAGGATAGATCTCTAAAAGTTTTGACACAGGAGTCATTAATAAATAACGAGACAAGAAAATCAGAGCAGTGCTTCCAAGTAACTTATGGTAGACACGAGAGAATGTACTTTCACACTCAGAAGATGAACTATCCATACAGAAAAGGTCTCTAGCAAGGCGTATTTCCCTCCCATTTTCAGTCATTAGAGTAGGGTCCCTGTAAGATTTACTATCAGCAAAGCAAGGATTCTCCCTTGAGCTAATTAAAAGATAATTTTACTTAAAGGTAATTTTTTTTAACAAGTGTCTAGCTAAAAAAAGAGAAAACTACACAGAAATGAAATACTGGGCAAAAGCAGCATGTAAGTGGAGAAGAAGATCAAAGTTAAGTGCTTTAAAATTCTTGTATTATTCAGAAGAGAATTAAGATATTAACTTTAAAAATGCACATCAGGCGGATCAACTGAAGTCAGGAGTTCGAGGCCAGCCTGGCCAACGTGGCGAAACCCCATCTCTACTAAAAATACAAAAATTAGTTGGGTGTGGTCACACGTGCCTATAATCCCAGCTACTGGGGAGGCTGAGGCAGAAGAATTGCCTGAACTCAGGAGATAGAGGTTGCAGTGAGCCAAGATAGCATCATTGCACTCCAGCCTAGCGGACAGAGTGAGAATCCATCTCTCAAAAAAAAGATGTGATTTCCAGAAGGTTTGTCGA